CTTCCTGTAAAGTGCTGTGGTGTTTTTAGCCCAGTCCAGTTTATTGTCAATGTGTACTCCAAGGTATTTATAGTATTTGTTTGTTCTCAATGTAACAACTTCATACATTACATTCATCCATTCATCCATCCATTTTTTCCACTTATCTGGAGCCTAAGCAAAGAAGCCCAGACCTCCCTCTCCCTAGCCACCTCCTCCAGCTCCCTGGGGGAACACCAAGGCACTCCCAGGCCAGCTGAGAGCTATGATCTCTCCAGTGTTTCCTGGGACATGCCTGGAACACCTCCCATGCCCATGCCCCCTCAACTGCCTCTACTCTGGGCCCTTTCCCAGATGGCTGAACGCTATCTTAGAGAGAAGCCAGCAACCCTTAGAGAAAGCACATTTCTGTTTCTTGTATTCGCAGTCCCATTCTTCGGTCACTACCCAAAGCTCATGACCATATGTGAGGGTAGGGAGGTAGAACGACCAGTAAATTGAGAGCTTCGCTTTTACGCTCAGGTCTCTCTTCATCACAATGAACTGGTACAGTGTCCACATCACTGCAGCCGCAGCACCAGTCTGTCTGCCAGTCCTCTGTTCCCTTCTCCCCTCACTCGTGAACAAGATGCCTGAGAAACTTAAATAGACTTGGAGGTACGGATTCTCATTCCCACTGCTTCACACTTATCTGCAAACCACACTCCAGTGCGAGCTGAAAGCCACCACCAGATGAAGCCAACAGAACCATATCATCTGTGAAAAGCAGAGACGAGATTCTGACACCACCCAAGTGGAAGCCTTCCGACACTTCGGCTTCCGAAATTCTGTCCATAAAAATTAAGAACTGAATCAAAAAGGGCAACTCCCACTGGGAACGAGTCAGAAGGATCGAATAGCTCATAGCAACAGGCCACACACCCCACACTTCCAAAGCACCACCCACAGAATACTTAGAGGGACACGGTCAAATGCCTTCTCCAAATCCACAAAACACATGTAGACGGGTTGAATAAACTCCCATGCACCCTCAGGTATCCTTGCTAGGGTAAAGAGCTGGTCCAGTGTTCTACGACCAAGCCAAAAACCGCATTGTTCCTGCTGGATCCAAGGTTCGGCTAATGGATGGACTCACACACTGTGTTAGGTTTCTTGTGCACCACAGAGGTGACATTCTATGTCCCATTCGCTAGTTTTGGTAGCCAGGGATCAGTCCACCAAGGTCTCCACCCTTGGCCACCACCCAGCACACATTGCATGCGACCCCTATGGCCCTTCTTCGGGCTGTGCCCTGCCGGCCCCCATGGGCAAAGGCCAGACACCACCAGGCACTTGCCTTCGTTCACCCTCCCCAGGATTGGTTCCAGGGCGGGGCCCAGTATATCTATACTGGGGCTCCGGGATGATGGACTGTTCCCTAGGTTTCTGTGAATAGGTGTCTTTTGAATCGCTCTTTGCCTGGTCCTTCATCCAGGACCAGTTTGCCATGGGAGACACTACCAGAGCACAAAAGCCCTCCGACAGCATAGCCCCTGGCATTCCTGGGACACACAAACCCCTCAACAGATTCATGGAGGGGTTATGCATTGTATTCAAATATTTAAATACATTATCAATAACCTTGTTGTTGTTTTTTTCTAGATTTAGTTCAAAAATACTCATCTATTTTTTCCTGAGACTTGGTGTTTACTCCGTGATCTTAAGTTTGCACAAAGAGGGAAACTTTAACTTCTGTTTTAAACTTCCGAATTGAAAGCCAAATGTCATTGTATTTTATTACATGTACAATGTGCAGGATCTAACCCAACAGTTTTCACCATTTTTCATTTAAAGGTTCCAACATGCATGTTGCCTTTTCCAACATTCACAGGGCTCTGTTCCATGAATTCATCCTCCATAGTCATAATGTCAATGCATGTGTGTATGAGGAAGAACCTTCTGGGGAAAAAAGGACCTGTACTGTGACCTTCACTGTGGTGGTCAGTAGGCCATCAAGCCCTGAAACACAACTAATTTTAGTGCCATTGCTGAGAGTGCACCCAGTATTCACTGCCTAAAATAGGTGTGCCAAGCTTGTAGTGACATACTCATAAATAATTAAGGGAGTAATTACTGCCAAAGGTGCTTCAACAAGGTATTGACCAAAGGCTATATTCATAGCCGGATTTATTATGTTCACATTCACATTATTAAAAGTAAATGATGAAAACAAAGTTACAAGAATTTGAAATTATGTTGAATTTTGAGTTTAAAATTAATTTAATAGGTTTTGTATAAAAGCTGTAGTGCATACTTTCTGGATGCACTGCATACCTGTTTATTTAGTTAAATGTGTTATTATCACAACCAAGAAGTCCAGAAACTTTCTTTTTTGTATTACATAATGGACAAAAAATTGTTATTTGGAACATTTGTTAGTTTTTTGTTTTGTTTTGTTTTGTCTTTTGTCATTGTTGTTTTGTGGGGGTTTTGTTTCCTAGGTGAGCACAGGGCTTTTCCAGTGAAGGACTTTGTCAAGCATGTTGCTGAACTTCACCACACTCAAAGCTTCAAACGAGAGTTTGAGGTATGACAAAGATTCAATTAAATAATACAATTTTACAGTGGTGCAATAGTTATAGCACAGAAAGACCGCTTTCATAGGGTGGATTCAAACCCAGGACCTTGTTGTTGAGCTCAGTTTGGATTTGATAAGCAGAAGATTGATGGAATTTTAAAAGTTTTATGTTTCAGTAGTTGTGTGAGTGGTGTTAAGCTGGTTTTATGGTCCTCTCAAATGTGTCCATCCATGTACACTACTGGGGACAGAGGGGGAAAGGGCTTTTTCACTGTACTCAGTGGCTAACTGACTGACCAACAACAATGCAAGCAAGAGTGACCCACAGACCAGTTTTACTCTCTACTCACTACAGATCACAATGTCGTCTATAAACATCATCAGAATCTTGCCTAACCTCATCTGTCAACTTGTCCATTGGGAATGAATAAATAAATGAATACAGAAAACATTTGGGCAACCGTCATACTGACAGTTCGTGAAGTTGCTTTGAGGCACATCCTATTGTGCAACATCAAAAGTGTGATATGGGTTAACCCTAACAAATCAAAATGCTGATGGGAAAATATTTACAAACAGTTTGATGTGATTTCTCCTTCATGTTTGCAGGAGTTGTACTGTGACATAAAGCTATGTGGATCTGTAATTTGTAATTGTAATTTGCCCTTTTGCACTTCTTTGGTTTTTGTTACGGAAATGTCCTGCTTGTCTGCTGCTGATTCGCCCTCAACCTTAGAAACTGAAGCCCAGTTACGAGGTAAGCCCCTGGCATTTATTCATGTTGTTGCATACCACCAGATGTGTATCTGTCTTGTATTGCACGCTGTTTCCTTGTCATAGTATCAGTAAAGCACGTTTACTCTGTGGCAGCAGTAGAGGAAGGCATGACTGCATTATGTGAGCCGCAGGGTTATTACAAAGAGTAAAATGTGTGCATAAAGGTCATTTCTAGTTTCAAGAAATCCAACCAAAATCTGTTGGAAATCTGTTAAAATCTCAAAATCTTTTCTTTTAACCATAAACTGTTTTGGAAAACTAGTTGTATGAAGTTTTAAAATACATACACTATATTGGCAAAAGTATCCACTCATCTGCCCTCACACGCATATGAGTGACATCCCATTATTAATCTGTAGAGTTTAATATGATATTGGCCCACCTTTTTGCAGCTAAAAAAGCTTCAGGTCTTTTTGGTAAGGCTTCCTACAAGGTTTAGCAGTGTGTTTATAGTCATTTTTGACCATGCTTCCAGAAGCACATTTGTGAGGTCAAACACTGATGTTGGATGAGAAGACTCTGCCCTAATTCATCCCAAAAGTATTCTGTCTAGTTGAGGTCAGGACTATCACAGTACCACGCTGAAATTCACTGAGCTCCTGAGCGTGACCCATTCTTTCACAAATTTTTGTAGAAGCAGTCTGTATGCCTAGATGCTTTATTTTGTACACCTGTTGCCTTGGAAGTGATTCAACACCTGAATTTAATGTTTGGATGGGTGAATGAATACTTTTGGCAGTAAAGTGTATCTTAAGAGGGAATCTGATGCAATGTTTATCCTTGATGGTCTGATCCGCAGCTATTGCAACAGGCGTGTGGTAAGTGGTTTTGAGTCGAAAGGCGCTTTCTATCACAAGTTTATTTTACATTGTGTGGAATGTAAATTGAAATCTGCCAGTGTGCAACTGTACTCACTTATGATACATTTACCGAGACTTTAAGTTATCTTTGAAGACTCTAAGCTTTGCTCTGTGTGTGCATGTTTGTAGGAGGCACATATGTGCACTGTGGACATAGTGATGTCTACTGACAACGCAAATCATCCAGACAGCAAGACTGAAAACAGACACAGCAACAATTCGACCTGTAAGTACAGGTTCAGACAGTGTGATGTGCTTCATGTTCAAGATTCAGAACAGTTTCAGATTTCTAACTTTTACTAAAGGACTTATTTTCATCTCTTAATCACAAATAAGATGGATAAAAGGCATAGCATAGTTATGATTATGTTAGGTATTTTAGGATATTAATTGTTAAGATTTTGCTGAGTCTGTGTGCTCTGCTAGTGTTTATCAGATGCAAATTAATGTTTCTGTTGAGTTGAGGTTTAAAAATATTGTTTTTTAGCCGAAGTTCTTTTCATTAACAGGTACACATAAATACATGGTAAGGTATGTGTGGCCACAATACTCAACAGAGCACCACATATAGATTCTTCCATCACTGAGACTAGTCCCACAGTGCTACTGTTTATGACACACTGAACAAAACTATAAGGATTAGTAGTCACAAAATGCAGTTTTTAATTGATAGTTTCATTTATTAGAGAAAGAATCTACTTAACCTACCTGGCTCTATGTGAAAAAAGTAGTTGTCCCTTCTTGTTAAATCTTGACTTAACTATGATCAACACGTATTTTTTTAAAACTGAGTTTAACTTCAATAGCCATGCCTAGGCCTGATTACTACCAGACATGTTGAATCAAGAAATAGCTTAAGTAGTAAAAACATTGTTTCCTTCATTCCCCTACTTACCTCCTAAAAATCAAGTGGATACTATTTTGGAAATAGATCGTTTTGGCGAAAGGCGAGTCTCTGTCATATGCAAACTGATATAGAGCTTAAGGCCTATTACTTGGGAAAAAACTAAAAATAATTGGGTAAAAGACATTGGGGTGGATTTATCTGATGATGAGTGGAGATCTTGCTAAAATCGTATACATACCTCCTCCCTTTGCATTCGCCATGGTTTAATTCAGTTTAAAATTCTTCATCGTCTTCATTATACAAGAGAGAGGCTTTCAAAATTTTTCCCAGAAGCCAATCCTGCCTGTCCCAGGTGTGGACATAGTCCAGCAAATGAGGGTCACATGATGTGGTCTTGTCCTAACCTGGACAAATACTGGGGAAATATATTCAAAGTATTATCTCACATCAGTGCGCAAAATTTAGTGCTTGATTTCCGCATTGGCATTTTTGGCCTCAATACGAAATTAGTACATCTCAGGAAAATGCCATAGCATCTGCTACATTGCTTGCCCTTAGACTCATTCTATTCCACTGGAAGTCTGATAAGGCTCCTTCATATATACAATGGTTAAAGGAGGTGCTTTTCTTTTTACCACTGGAAAAACTTAGACACAGAGTTCTCTCACCACAACAAAAATTATCTGCCACTTGGAACCCATTTATTGACTATATAAAAATGTATTTTCCAGATGTGTGACGTACATTTTCTGTTTGTTTTGTTTCTCTTTACATGAACCTCGGGTGGGGAGGGAAGGGGGTTCTTTTTTTTTCTTTTTTTAACTGTGCTTTATTTTTTTATGTATAATCGCAACGTTTTCATTTTGTTTTGTGACCATGATTTGTGTAAAGCGATTAAATTGAAAAAGTCAAAAAAAAAAAGGAAAGCTAGAGTGCAGGCTCAAACTGGAAGTTTGTAGTGTCCAATTTCTATTCTATCATTCCAGTTTTTTTCCTTTTTAAGTATTAGTAGGCGAAGTATTTCATACGCAGTATTGCAGTTTTTTATGCAGCCAAAACATCAAGATTTAATTTGGAACAATAAAAAATATAACTTCTTTATCCACCAAAAAAAAAAAGAATGAATACTGGTGCATTTGTTACACATTTATATCCAGATGCTGGTCCGGAGATTTAATTCTTCTTCATTTGCTGCACTTTCAGCTGTGGCTGCTTGTTCATTCCTGAAGAGTCAAGACAGCAACTGGGTTTTCAGTTCAGAGCCACAGTAATTAGTTGATTAAGAAGCCTAAAATCAACCAATGAATTAATAAAAATCTTCTGTAGCCTTATCAACACACGGGACTAAGATAAAGCATTAAGCTACAAATTTTGGTTTTGTATATGTAAATGAGTAATCCATCCATGTAAAAAGAAGAAAGAAATTAAATGCACTCAGCACTTAGAGTATAAAAACATGTATATAAAAGATGGGCACACACCATGACATCACTCTGTTCTGTGAACCTTTTTCTCACTCTTTTAAGCTTTGATTTGAGCATTTTTGTGATTGCTGTCTTTTTTTATTTGGAGTCACAAGTGACCAAAATTGTTAAATAAATTTAAAATAACATGTAATTTCAAACTTTAATAAAAGGGAAAAAAAAGAAATAGCTTAAGTAGAACAGAGACAGAGTAAAAGGTTAAAAGATCCCAGAAAGCAACACATCATGCCATAATGTAAAGAAACAGTTGAGAAACAAAGTCAGTGACATGAATTATTCCAGAAAGAGTTAAAGGCTTTGGGACCCCAGCACAGTGTCTGAAACATACCACCTCTGAATGGCTCAAAACCCTAACAAGTCAGATTTAGGCAGCAATTAGTTTTTCACATTGGACCAGGTAGTTTTGGGTATATGTTTCCCTTAATAAATAAAATCATGATTTAAAAACTGCATTTGCTGTTTGGTAGGTTCTGTATTAAAATATGTTTACGTTTAAGTGTGACAGATGAGCAAAAAAAAAAAGAAACTTGGTAGGGAGGAAATAGTTTTTAACAGCACTATATGTTTATTTTTGTCAAAAGTAAAGTACAGTAGAGGATCTAGAGTAACTGGCCCATTTCAGGACTTTCCTCCAGGATTACACCCCGAAGAGTTCAGGACCAGAATGTAATTGATAGTCATAAATTCTACACTCTATCAGGCGATGCTGAAGGAGAATGTCTCATCATGCCCTGAAGTGTTTTAAATTTCAAAATTATATTTAATATCCAATTTATATGGAAGATGTCAAATTTGCTTACATGTCTTTATCTAATGTAAAATGCATTCATCTAATTTTTTATCTTTACTGTCTGTGTGTGTCTGTCTTTGTCTGTCAGATGATGATACCCAGGTACACCTCTCACTATTGGCCAACAAAAAAGGAAAAGCAATGGATTACATTAACGCAAGCTACGTGGATGTAAGGAAAACATTTTAATAAGCTACATACAAACTGAGGCCTTCATCCTCACTCTGAAGCTCTTTCTGTTTATTCAGCCTCTCAAACAAATAGTCTGAGGGTATTTTTATTCCCAGAGCCACTCAACACTTCCCTCTAGTCTTCCAAAACCAAGTCAAGTCTCCCTGCTGCATATTTCTAAACCTATTCACGAGAGGGGACCTGCGAAGCTCTCTATTATGCTAGTAACGGCACCAATAAAACCTTATTTCCAACATCTTGTTGTTTTGTGAAAAGCAGAAGCGACACAAAAAGACCTCTCTGCAGTCATGGCCTCTCTGGAGAGCCGGCATACAGGTTAGAGTTGGTAAAAGCACATTGAGAATCTCTACAGCTCCTACTTTTGTCTGCTTTTGGCGCATTGACGACAACTTCATGCTGTCAGTCAACTGAAGGTTATCAAACTATTAAATGGAGTGATTGAACAGCGCTCTCTCCTGAGAACACGTGACAGTCTTTCGTAGGCTGGCCTTAACTAAACAAATCTCCAGAATTCTGCCATCTTGACATTTTTGTTAAAAACACACACACACACATATATACACACACCTACACACACACATGTTTTGTTTGATTTGTCAATTTAGTCTCCAATTTGAGCACCTATACAGGAGCTTTCTTGGGCCCTTTCTCAGTAGTAAAAAAAATCTAGTAAATTTGAGTTGTGGGATTTAGATTGACTGTGAAGTGCATTTAAATGCTTCATTTTCAACAGGAGAACAAATAGGAAGCTCCAAGTGGACTTTGAGGAGAAAATATTTTTGAGCACATTTTGTTTTTAAAAATCAACTACAACAAGAAAAACTTTATCATAAAAAAGCTACAAATTCTAGTGAAACAGGTTGAACTCGTATTAGACTGAACACACCAGGAGTAAATGAAAATATGCTGGTATTCCTGAACTAGCATCTCTTGTGGACGTGTTTCTAATTTTAGAGATATTGCACAAATCCTAAATATTGATTTAATATGAGCTTTGAGATATCCTGATCAAAAATGACTCCTAAGGTTTCTGAAAGTGTTACTGAAGGCCAAGGCAAGTCATCTACATATTCGTCTCCATTTTAGAAGGAGGAAATTCAAAAGACATGCCTGAGTTTAACTACATGATGTGAATCATCTGGCTTCATGGATAGATAAAGTTGGCTATCATCTGCATATTGTATGTTATTTATTCTAATAATATTGCCTATTATTTAAATGTATAATGTCAATAGAATTGGTCCTTGACAAAAAGAAGACTCAACATTTGCATGAACAACCTGGATAGATACAACTTAAACAACTGTAGTGCAATTTCTTTAAAATTTAATTAAAAAGTCTGTAGTAAAATATTGTGCTACGTGTTATCAAATGCTGCACTGAAGTCTAGCAGGAGTCTGACAGTGTGTAAGCTCACTGTCAGAGGCCATAAGAGGTCGTGCGGTTTCTCTTCTGTGATTCTGAATCCTGACTGAAATTCTTCAAATGAACCGTTCCTCTGCAGATAATCAGTTAACTGGAGGATGTTATAAGGCCTTGAGGCAATCAGATGTAAAACACAATATTCACGAGTGTTTTAAATCGTAAATTCTTTTTTGCCTATTTTTGATTTCTAATATTGTAATAAGTTTTGGTTGGTTGGCCTTCACCTAAATGTATTTATTAGTAATAATAAATCCAGATTCATAAAGGAATGGTGCAACTATACTTGAAATAACTATCAATGTGGTGTTTAAGCATTCAGAGCAAAAACTCTAATGGACAATCTTTTTATTATCTCATTGTTTTTCACATTGCAATGTAAAAGTACATGAACACAACAAAGTCAGCAGAACAAATTTCCCATCTTGTACTTAGTACATCTTGCACATACACCTGTGACATTCTGATTTGCCAAAGATCATGTCAGCACTTTGTGTTTCTCAGGGTTTTAAGAAGCCACGGTTGTACATTGCTGCTCAGGGGCCTGTGAGGTCGAGCATTGAGGACTTCTGGAGGATGATATGGGAGCAGAACATCTGCATCATCGTCTTGATCAGCAACCTGGTGGAGAAAGGATGCGTAAGTGTCTCGTCATAGTTTCTGAAATTACATTTATATTTTTGAGTTGAAATATATATGAACATAATCTGATGACACACACAGAGTGAACTTGTGTTCACTCATGTTGGTCAGTAAAGAAAGAAACGATTCTGTAGCTTTAAAAAATATATTTTTTACACTTTTACAGTACTCTTTTATAAATATCGATCAACCAAAGAAGAATCTTTTCCATCACATTTCTTTTAGCATTATATGCATGTGTTTACTGTGTCTTAGAGAATATATGATCAGTACTGGCCACTAGAGGTGCAGGAGGAGTACGGCAGCTTTCTCGTGACTGTGAAGAGCACTAAAGTCCTCGCCTACTACACCCAGAGAACCTTCACCATCAGAAAAATCCAGGTAAAAAAGGTCAGCCTGTAGCAGTCACCCTTAAGTATCCTGTGTAATGACAGAATTTCACTTCATTTTCTTTTTTATAGCTCTAATTTGCAAAGATGATCACTTCAAGAGAAATAAAGACCCTAAAATATTAGAAAGAAGTTCCCTTAATGGGAACCAGTTGGGGTGAGGGGAAAGAGAAGAGAGTAGAGAGACTGCACTACATACAATATATTTAGATTTTCATGTTAATTGTAACTAGGCCAAGTAGGAGTGGCAAGAAATTATTTTAGGGTGGCAGTACCGCAGTAGATCCATCCATGGATGGCACAAGTTAGAATTTCACAACTCGAGTGATGTCAGTGAGTCACTGTTGGTATCTTCCTGTTACTGACTGCTTTGTTCTTGTCCACCTGCAGAGTTCTCAGAAGCGGCGGGCCAAGGAAGGGGCTAATGAGCGGACTGTGACACAGTATCATTACACCCAGTGGCCTGACACTGGCGTTCCAGACTTAGCTCTGCCGTTCCTCTGCTTCATCCGCAAGTCATCCAGAGCCAGGACAGATGACATGGGGCCACTGATGGTTCACTGCAGGTGGGAACTGCCAGAAAGAGTTAAAAATCTCATTTTCATTGGCAGCTGAATATATATTCTTAACTCTAATATTCTCTTTGCCGTGCAGTGCTGGTGTTGACCGCACGGGCACATACATTGTCCTGGACAGCATGCTGACGCAGATCCAAAATGAGGGCTCCGTCAACATCATGGGCTTCCTTAAACACATTCAAACTCAGAGGAAATGCCTGGTGCAGACAGAGGTCACCCTCATTCCTGTCCATACACACCCACACCTATAGCCAGTCAACACACCATCCATTTACTACCATTAATAATAATACTAGCTAATAATAATACGACTTCTTTGTGGATGGTAAATCCTGAGTCTCTACATGGCAAGTTCAGTGTCATTGATCTGTGCACCCAGACTGGAACAACTGACATTAAATTGGAACCAAACACTGATGCAGCCCAGAAGTTTAAAAAAATAAAAAACGAGAACCTCACTGGCAATACTTAGATTTTTCTTCAAGCAAACCCATGCCTTGGTATGCTGAAGCATTAGCGGTGCCTTTCACTGGAACTAAGGGGTTGAGCCCAACTCCTTAAAAGTAACCCCATATCCACCAAACATTACACTTGACAGACTCATCCATCGGGCTGTCAGACGGAGAACCATGATAGAACCATGATTCATCACTTTTCACTGCATTACGCCGCTTAGATGCAGCTGCTCGGCGATGGAAACCCACCCCATGAAGCTCTTTATGCACTGTCCTTGAGCTAATCTGAAGGCACATGTGGTTTAAAGGTCTGTAGCCATTAACTGCTGAAGACGTTACACACTATCCACTTCAGCATCCGCTGACCCTGCTCTGTGGCTTTAGCGGTCTACTACTTCAAGGCTGAGTTGCTGTCATGCCCAGTCTCCTCCACTTTGTGAACCGTAGTAGTGATGACATTTCCCAACTGGACTTGTTGCACAGGTGGAATCCTGTCACGGTAGCATACTGAAATTCACTTCAGTGCCTCAGACTGGCCCATTCTTTCACAAATTTTTGTAGAAGCAGTCTAACAGAGGTGTCTGATTTGATATCCTGGTGGCCACCTGAATTCAATGGTCTGGATGAGTGAATGATTACTTTTAGTAATGTAGTGTAGCAGTATGATATAGAGGGGTTACAGTCATTTTGATCACTGTTGTATACACCCTCTACATTCATTCCCATAATGAGTGTATATAAACCCCTGACCACAACTGTAGACCTTTCTTTCAACCATATTTTGATTCTGTGTAGAATTAATAAAATAAATTGAAATGATTGCTAGAGATCTTGCTAAATATAGCACTGAACAGAATATTCTTCTCACGAATACAGTTTTAGTTTCTATCTATATTTTTCACTGGCAGGCAGAACTAGAATGCATTAACAACCTTTTTTTCACAAAAGTTCATCCTGATCCCGAAGTCCCAGAAATAATCAACTTTGAATTTTTGTGACTTGTTATTTTCTGACAGCCATCTTGTTTAATTCCATCTCCCATTTCTAAGGCCCACTAGGGTTATGATGGTTTGTCAGTTTCTATTTCATGGCTAGAACTGTATCAGGTATAAATTTAGGACAAATAAACAGAAAAATAGGGAAATAAATTATGCTGCTCCTGCGACAACTTTGCCTCGCTGTTCTAAGCCCCTGCTATAAGATTAGCATGTGCACATGCTGAAGCCACACTGAAAATAAGTCTGTGATGCTTTTTGGCCTCAAACAGGACAAAATCCAAAGCCTAGAGATAACCTAGATATAACATAAGGTGCTGCCCCCCACTCCCAAGAAAAGTTCAGCAACATAGAACAACAAAAGATGCCATCAGCAGTTTGTTTGCTTCAACAGGGAATAATGCCAAAACAACAAACAATCAGCAAACATTTTACAACAATTTTATCTGATCCTAACAGGACAGCGAGTCTGTACTTGCTGACAAGAGGTCAAATTTGTCCTCTCAAACAGAGTCTGCAACTGGAGGAATAAAAATTAAAGCTGTTGGGAGAAGTTTATTTTAGAGTTTAATTTTAAAATATGCTGCAAGTGTCACATTTTCACTGATTCATTTATTTAAAGCACATTTTAAGTGTATTATAGATTTATTGGTGAGATGATGTTTTATATGTGCAGCTCGTTAAACTGCACATATAAAAAACACTAAATGAGGCACAAACTATGTGTTACATCGTGACAGGAATGTCTGGGTATTAATTTGGTGATTCAGAAAATGTATGAAATGATTGTATGTCTGAGTGTCTTTACATTACTGGAATTGTGGCTACTAGAACAAAGACCACTCACCAAAAAGACCTTCTTAATTAATCGGACTAATTTGACATTCATCTGCATCAGACTGTCAAACTCCACATCTCCTTTATTAGACAGTAAGATTTTTTTAATGTTCAAATGAATAGAGTTCAATGTTTAACATTTTAAACTTCCTACCTGGCTCAGTCTCCTGTTATGAGGTTGTTAAAAAAGTTTCAATGACAAATTTAAACGTCCTGTTTTTTTCTTTCTGCAGGAACAGTATGTTTTTATCCACAATGCCCTGGTGGAAGCCATCTTGTCTGGTGAGACAGAGGTGGCAGTGGCTCAACTGCATACGTACGTGGACAAGCTGATGACCCCAGGGCCTGATGGAGGAACAGGGATGGACAAACAGTTCAAGGTAAGCCTTACTCTCAATATGTTTCATTGAGACAGACAGTCTCAGGCAGTCTTCATATTAGTTAGTATGAAACTATTATCATACTTATTATCAGACATCTTTTATTGAAAGATGTTTTTTTTTAGTTGTTTACAGTTGTTTACGGGTTTTTGATGTTTTCCACAGATGGTTTGTTACACCAATCTGAAGCACTGTGACTATTCCACAGCTCTGCAGGACTGCAACCACAACAAGAACAGGAACTGCTCGGTGATACCCAGTGAGTCTGACACACTCGTCAGCTGTAGCTGAAAATACTGCACATACACAAAAACATCTGTCTGCACAAACATGTTCTATCTCATATTGCAGTTGAGAGGTCACGAGTGCATTTGCCGACAACAGCAGGGGAAACATCAGACTACATTAATGCATCATATATCGCAGTAAGTCATATATATATATATGACTCTGTGTGTATGTGTATATAATTCATCAGTAACAGCCACCGTTTCAAGTAATGAGGTCAGTAAGTGTGGCTGACATGTTCCTCCAGGGTTACAGGCACACCAAGGAGTTCATCATTACCCAGAAACCCTTGCCTGTCACCATAAAGGACTTCTGGACAATGATATGGGACCACAACGCCCAAGTCATTTTGTCACTGCCTGGGGTGAGGAACCGTTCTTTTTAAAGACATCCCTGAAAGAATCTTGTGACTACATCCTCCTGGGGCTCTTTGTACCTGTTTGTTCCTTTAATTCAAATGTTATTTTAATATTTATTTTATACCTCAAAATATCTTTTCTGATTTAATATTTTAATGTTTTGTGGAAAATGTATTGAGGTTTTCTTGACGTGTTAGCCCAGACTAGCGATCTGTTCAGGGTGCACCATGACCTTTTGGAGAAAGTCATGCTCTCTCTACAGTATCATGGTACATACTGTAATTACAAGCAGCCAGGTTGGAAAAAATGTAGTTGCAAGTTGGAGATATCTGTGAATTGTCACAAATGCAATGTAATGATTTCCTGTGTTGGTAGATGGAGGAAGAAGCAGAGCCATTTGTTTCCTGGCCTGATAAAGGGCAGCTGATCAGCTATGAGATGTTCACTGTCACTCAAAAGAGTGAGACTCATGTTTGTCTGTCCAACGAGGACCTGCTGGTAGTTCAGGACTACATACTGAAAGCTACAAAGGTTAGTAACATGGCAGTTTGAATTCCCTCTAAAAAATGTATCCCAGCTTTAATTTAAAACCCACGCCCATAACAATAGTTGTCATGTGGACATGAAAACTCACTCTCATGACTGACTGTGACTGATGTTTGCTGTCTTTTCTTATCTTAATAGGATGACTACGTTCTTGAGGTGAGACACTATCGTGCTCCCAACTGGCCAAACCCAGACAGTCCCCTCACTTCCACCTTTGAACTTCTCAAACTGATGAAGGAAGAGATCCTCACAGAGGACAGCCCTACTGTGGTCCACGATAAGTAAGACCCTTGGACTACTTACAATACTGTCGTCTGGTCTGATACTTGTTTTGTAATCTTTATATTATTCACGATCCATATCTATGCATCTGTCTGTCTGTGTACCTACCTACTCAGGCCTTCTTGTCCAACCTCTGAACCTCTTGTCTGACCTCTCTGTCAGGGTGCTGGTTCAGCATTTTGAGTTTATTCTGTTTTGTGATTCTTTGTATTATTGGTTTAGGATCAAGTTTTATTCCTTGAGTTTAGTTCCTTTTATGTTTTGAGTTTTTTTGTTGTTTATTTTTCAGTTTACCTGTTTTTATTCATGTTTGTTAGCAGCCAAAATACAGTGAGGAACATAAGTATTTGAACACCCTGCAATTTTCAAAGTTCTCCCACTTAGAAATCATGGAGGGATCTGAAATTCACATTGTAGGTGCATTCCCACTTAAAAAAAAACAATTAGGAAATGACACTGTATGATTTTTAAAGAATGTATTTGGACACCTGAGAAAAGTAGTGTTAATATTTGATACAAATGTGGAGGTAAGCATCAACGACACAGCTCTCAGTTCTCACTCCTTCTTTATTCGTCTCCAACATCAACTGCGCATATCGCGCCACAAAACACAGGAACACACTTCCTCTACACTGGGTGTGAGTGGAGCCCTCTAGTGGTCAACCACACAAAAGCCTTTGTTTGCGATTACAGAGGTCAAACGTTTCCTGTAGTTCTTGACCAGGTTTGCACACAGTGCAACAGGAATTACGGCCCACTCCTCCACACAGATCTCCTCTAGATCTGTCAGGTTTTGGGGCTGTTGCTCAGCAACATGGAGTTTCAGCTCCCTCCAAAGATTTTTTATTGGATTTAGGTCTGGAGACTGGCTAGGCCAGTGGACAGGTGTCTTTAAAGAGCTCAGACAGGTGCTAATAATTTAGATTAATAAAGGCATAGTAACAGGTCTTTGAGAGCCAGAATTCTTGCTGATTGCCAGGTGTTCAAATTTTTATGTGCAGCAGTGCAATACAAATAAATTCTTTAAAAATCATACAATGTCATTTCCTGAATTGTTTTTTAAATGCTGTCTCTCACAGTGGCAATGCACCTACAATGTGAATTTTAGACCCCACAATGATTTCTAAGTGGGAGAACTTCGAAAATCGCAGGGTGTTCAAATACGTATGCTCCTCACTGTAAATGGTTACACTGTTTGTTATGTGTTTGTGTATGTATATAGATAAGATAGATATAGATATATAGAGAGAGACGTTGGATGTCGGACTGGAGAATAATAAAAAGGCTGGCGGATATCAGCAGAGAATAACCCAAGTCCTAAGGCGTCAGCTGAATCGGAAGAACAAGATTCGTGCAATCAACACATACGCCCTGCCAGCTTATTATCAGACATCAATAAGCTGGCAGGCCCAAGGGAGAAGATAGAAGCCATTGACATCAAGACAATCAAGCTCCTTACCATGTATGGAGGGTTTCACCTCAAATCCAGCACCCTGAGACTGTATGCTAAGCAGAAGGAAGGTGGCCAAGAACTAGTGAGTATCAGAACTACTATCCAGGATGACACAACAAAGATCCATGAGTACATCAGGAAGATGGGCACATAGTGTTGCTTAGTGAATACCTCAGGCAGCAGAAACCAGAGAAAGAAGAAGAGCAAGAGCTCCCATGATGACAGACCCGCATGTACCACCGACAAACAGAAGAAGGGATATTGAGAAATCCCACCAGTAGTTAGCTAGACTGAAAGACATCACAGAGGCAGTAATCATGGCAACAAAGGAACAAGCTCTAAGCACAAGATCCATACAGGCTGGGGTCTAACACACCAGGCAAGACCCGAGGTGCAAAGATGCCCCTGAGACAATCCAGCATAACTGCAGGGTGTAAAATGCTAGCAGGCAGGGCATACATGGAACGCCATAACCAAGTGGCGGCCTAGTCCACAAGAACATGTACTGAGTATGGCCTAGAACTCCCAAGGTCAAAATGGGAGACGCTCCCCAAGGTGGCTGAGAATGACCAGGCTAAGCTCTTGTGGGACTTCCAGATACAAACAGACAAAGTGGTAATGGCTAACCAACCGGACATAATGTAGCTATGCCAAGTAGTAGCAAAATCAGGAAAAAAGAAAACACAAGTTGGAGCCACATGCCCATGTAATTTTATTTATTTTGTTTTTTGTTTTTTAGTGTGGGTGGGTTTACAGCAGGACTGTTCTGTGCTCTTTCGTCTCTGACTCGCCAGTTGGATGCCGAAGCGTCAGTGGATGTCTTCCAAGTAGCCAGGCTGATGAATCTCATGAGACCTGGAACCTTCAACAACATCGTAAGTTTGTCTGTCTCACAATAATTTTATTGTAATGTAATGCTGTAAAGTGTACCTCATTAAATTCGAATATTTAAAAAATATATAATTAGCATCAAAACAACAAGGCAGCTGTTTTTATTGTAATAGGCTCTTTAAATGTTGGGTTTTTCTGTTTGTTTAAGGGTATAATATGCCTTAATGGCTGTGGCCTTTTTCAGTAGGAAGACAACAGTGAAATGGCAAGAAGCACGACAATGAGTTTGAGGTGTTGACTTCACCTCCAAATTCTCAATCTAATCAAGCATAAGCAATTGGTTTTTTCCAGCACTTATTTTGTACTGGACAAAAAAAGTCTGATCCATGGAGATACCTTCAAGGGTCTAGTGGAGTTCATGCTGTTTTGGTGGCAAAAGGGGTACCAACATGTCAATTCATTCATTAATTGTCAATTCATGTTAATGTTATTGCCACCTTGAGGTGGCAACAATCCCTTCAAGTTTTATATTGTAAAGATCCTACAATAATGCATAAAAGATCCCAAGCGCTTCAGGGCTCGCAAAATTTCAAAATCCCTGGTAGCCCTTCGGGCAGGGACTCTTCAGTTTTTGGTAGCCCAAAATAAATT